ATTGGAGATAAGATTGTAGATTGGGTGAGATGTGATTGAGATGATGTGAACTTCCTATCTGGGGGTGAAATTGATGATGAATTTTTTTTTGGGCTGATGGCCTGCCTGGCAATCAAAGAAAAACCTAATTGGGGTGATGTGTGATAGCCGGAGGCCTGCGGTGATGTCCGGGGGTTATATGCAGTGTTTACATAAGCGGCAACGGCCTGGCCTGAGCATAGCAGAAAGATAACCCAGTTCGCCAGTGTAATGCATTACAGGGTTATGTGACTGCCAGCAAGGTATTGGAAGTAATGTAATAGCACCCCCAGTAAGTTGTGTGTTAATGCATTACTGCCACAACCATTGGTCCTATCCCGATGAGCGAGCGAGAGTCTCAGTACTCACAGCCCAAACTGGAGCTATTCGGCTTGTACCGCGCGCTTCGTCACTGGAGACTGTACATCATTGGTGTCAATTCGCTGCAGGTAGAAGTTGATGCCAAGTACATCCAAGGACTCCTCAACAATCCGGATCTTCAGCCAGATGCAGCCGTCAACAGGTGGATCCAAGGCATTTTGATGTTTCATTTCGTGCTGATACATGTACCAGCCACTAAATTCCAAGCGCCCGATACACTATCTCGAAGGACTCCGGCGGAGAATGAAACGGTTGAAAGCGACGACGACAGCTGGTTGGACGACATAGCGCTGTGGGTGGAAGAAAAGCCGATAAAGAAAGAAGCATATGACCCACAAGAATTGCCTTCAGTATTTCTGACTCGAGCCGAAACGGAGCGGCTCTTGAGGGACATTCACAAGTTTCTAAGCACGCTGGAGGCACCATTATTCCGAAATCCTCAACAGCATCGGCGCTTTATTCAGCAAGCCACGCGATACCTGATCCAAGACGGCAAATTTTTGCGGAAAAACAAGAAAGGGCCTCCTTTGATTGTGGTACTTGAGCCGGCGAACCGCTATAAAATTCTGACTCAAGCGCATGACGACTTGGGGCATCGTGGAATCGAGCCGATGTGGGAAACACTAAAAATGCGCTTCTTTTGGCCACGATTACACAACGACATTGAGCATCATATCGCGTCATGTCATCGCTGTCAAGTTCGAAGTACAAAGAAAATGGAAATTCCTCTCACCATCTCGACTCCGGTCGCTCTGTTTCAAACGGTCTACATTGACATCATGATGATGCCAGAAGCAAACGGGTTGCGAATGATCGTAGCAGCCCGAGATGACCTGTCCGGGACTTGTGAGGCGAAGGCGCTGGCCACCAAAACGGCCCAAGATTTGGCAACATTCTTCTGGGAGCAAATTTATTGCCGATACGGGTGCCCACGAAAGGTGGTTACGGACAACGGTTCGGAAGTGAAAGCCGGGTTCAAGCATTTAATGAACAACCTGAATATACCGCATGTCAAAATATCGGCGTACAACAAACACGCAACGGGCCATGTAGAGCAAGGGCATTTTACCATGCGAGAAGCTATTGTTTGTTCGTGTGGCGGAAAAATTGAGCTCTGGCCGCAAAAACTGCCCGTGGCCTTGCTCGCCGATCGAGTCACAGTAAGCCGTGTCACTGGATTTTCGCCTTATCAACTGCTTCACGGCGCGGACCCAATTTTACCTTTCGACCTTACGGAAGCCACATTTATGGTGAGCGGCTTCCGGTCTGGAATGTCCACAAGTGAGCTGCTGACCCTGCGAATTCGTCAGCTCTCGAAGCATCCTCGAGACATCAAACGGGCAATGGAAACCCTGCGAAAAGCGCGGTTCCGATCAAAGCAACATTTCGAAAAACACTTTTTCAAGAAGCTACAGAAGGAGGAATACAGGCCAGGAGAGTTGGTGCTGGTCCACAATGTGGAACTCGAAATGGAGGTCAGTTCTAGGAAAAAGACAGACGACCGGTATTTCGGTCCGTATGAAGTAGACCGGAGAAATAAAGGAGGCGCGTATATTCTGAAAGAGCTCGACGGGACCGCCTTTCGACACAACCCCACTGCAGCATTCCGACTCCTTCCGTATATCACAAGGAATCACTGGTTTATGTGCCACAGATGGATAAATGAAGACGAGAACGAAGATGATTTGAATGATGAAGACGAGGAATTGTTTGACTCTTCCGAGGAAGGAGACTACTGAATAAGGAGCGCTTCCAAAATTAACCAGGCTACGGCACGCGGGAGGACCTCGAATGGAAGCCTTCGAAAATCAAACGACGATAATGACAGGATCGAAATGAAGTAAGCGCTAGCCACAATATAAAAGCGCAGAGGAGACACCTCTGGCTGCGGAATTCCTGCTCGCCCAGATTTCTACTGAGTCTCTAACTTTCCTTACCATGTCTCGTCCAGCTCCTCTTTACTCAATGATTCGTCCTTCTCCAGTTTATGTCTCCTCCCCCGCCTATACGCAGAGCACACCCAACTTACGGCGGTACACTATCAAGACTCAGAAAGTGCCAGAATCCATTCGTGTACGTGACCGGTGTTATGCATAACCCTCTTTATTCATGACTCTCATGACCTGGCGATCAGACCACCACCACTTTCGTTAATTCTGAGCACGAGCGCTATCTGTCAGAACCAGTATCTTTCATCCAGTTCGTTCAGGAAAAGGAGACTGGGTATCACTCCCCCGTCCGCACGCGTTATGGGTCTCTTGTCTCCTCCAAAGTGGAGCGTATTCCCTATGTCCAGCCCATCAGCAGCAGCGTCGAGAACAGTGTCATACACTCCACTTACCAGTCCACCCCGCCCCTCTCTCCTGCCATTGCCGATGCTCATCCAGAAGGCCGCGGCTACAACTATCTCCGCCCGCCCTTCACCGACATCACTCGGGATGAGCGCACCGCCAAGGATCTTGAGACGGAGCACGCGTACATCCAATTCCAGGAGCACACCGCCTCTGCTTTTTCCCCGTTCCCCTTCACGCGAACTGTGAAAGCCATCCTCCGTGACCTTGACGGCCAATACTTCGAGGTCTACCGACGCCCGTATGAACTCCTTGGACCGGGGATGTGGGTGGTATGCTTCGGGGATATGGTAGGGGAGTGGCTCGCCACCGGAGAAATGCATCAGCAGGAGGGATATGTGATGTGGAAGTGGGTCAACCACGACACCCGCTATTGCACCATTGTTCGGGTCGCAAATCGGTTCATCCGCCCTCTAACGCTGATGGAACGCGCAAAGATGATGAAGAAGCTCCGAAAGATTGCCACGCGTACCTTCGAAATCGAGTAAAAGACGGTACTTACATATGAATGGGACCCGAAAGTGTAAAAATTCTTTCTATTACAACGACTTCCGATGAAATGAAACTCTTGAACTCAAAAATTGAACTGAAGACTGGGGACAGTCTGAAATTATTCCGTCCGCCGCAGATGTCCCCCAGGAAAAATGTTCCCTATAAACATTCAATTTTGATTTAAGAGGTACTCATATATCATTTCCTCGGAAATCACCGAGCGTGGGAAAATCAGACGAGCTGCCGGCCGGCAAAGGGATCACGGGAATGTGCGAGTCAGTCCGAGTCAGGAAGGGAGTCAGAATGAGTCAAATATTTCTGACTCGCCTCGGGGCCGGGATTTTCCGAGTAGTATAAGGAGTCGACTTGAGTAGAAAGAAGCAACTTTTCCCCCACCAAGGATAAAGTCCCAGCTTGTAGTAGATACTACACAATAAATTTCTTACGCACTCTAACTAAACTTCTGAGTCTGATAAGCTCCGTAAGACAGCTAATTCAAGTTCAAGTTGCCTTACCTGTCCTTCAAGACACTGTACAGACCGTTGCTCAAGTTACTGTAGAGGCTTACCAAGCATACAGAAGCTGAAGCGCCCGCAAGCCGCTGCCGACCGACCGAGGCGCCCAAACACCGCCACTGACTGACTGAACTGACAGACGGCCACCTGTTTTTAATTACCGAAAGGCGCCCAATCCAAATAAGGGTTCCTACTTACTTAAGTCCTCCGATCAACGACCAATCCGAGGCAACACCAAAGGGAACTTTTTCTTTGTGTTACACCGGATACATTTGTAGTACAAATAGTGCTCTGTATCTTCTTTGTAGTTCAGTTCGAATATCGACTAAGATTGTGTTCTGTCTTCTGGCTCCGTCTTCCTCACTTCTTGTCTGTCTCTTCTGAAATCGGGCCTTGGGCGTAGCGAAAGGCGCAGCGCACGAGCTGAAGCCAAGCCCGCTCCCACCTCCTCGGAAATCCGAAACCGGCTCCGATCGGATACGACTTCACGCTCATTTATGATGTTTCACTCTGTGAAGTCCTATCTGCCTCACTCACTTGCACTCGCTTGTTGATAGGACATTCGGACCTCTGGTGGATCTCACAGTCCTGACTTGTCTTCGTACTTGTCCTTTCTAGGATCCTTCGGGCTCCGAGGATTTCCGGTCCTTGACAAGGTTACACCATTCGAACTTGTCCGCGATGCGCTCGGCATACTCGAGGATGCCCCATCGCTCGCCAGACGGCTCACTCAGCAGCATCCCACTACAAGTATTTGTAGCGCTCCCAACGAGTCCTACACCATCAAACAGCTTGATTCATGCCGCTTTGGCTGTTACTCGTCCTAATGAGGCCTTTTTCCACTCAGGGCCACACAGCAGGCTGACATAGCATGCTGGGATGCTACACTGAGGGAATCTGAGAGGTCAAGAAAAAAAGTTTTTCCGACCGGATAAGTTTTTGTTTGCATTTCCCATGCACAACGTTTGGTATGGCATATGACAGCTGCCCCAGCATCGCGGCAAAATGACGGAAAATATTCCCCAGAATAAATCAAATGCTATGGATAGTCACCAACTGGTACTCTCACACTTTGTTTTTGAAATTTCCACCCTGGTTTCAAGTCAAAATGGGATAAAAAGAGTTCAAAATGTTCACTTGTTTTTTCAGTGAAAAAGGTGCTGTAAAACCCTACTCAATTTTCACCAATGTCTTCGCTGAAAAACTCATCCTCTCTGGAAAAAAAAAATCAAACACAAAAAAGCGACACTGGCATGATTCGAACATGCGCCCAACAAGTGGAACAGATAGAACAATAATTCGAATCTGTCGCGTTAACCACTCCGCCACACACTGTTGAACTATTCAAGTTTTTCGGTGAAAAAATTGGTGAAAAAAGGTTAGGATTTTACAGCACCTTTTTCACCAAAAATGTAAGTGAAGAATGTGAAACATCTTAGTGAATTTTTTGAACTTCAATAAGAATTCACCAATTTTTCACCAAAAATTCACAACAATCAAAAAATGCACAAAGAGCTTTCCGGTTTTTCCCTTCAGTTTTGCTGAAAAAGTCGGTGTAAAATCCAAACCAAATTTTACCAGTTTTTTCACCGAAAAACTTGAAATGTTCAAGCAGTGACAGTGCCGATGCAAGAAGTGTGACAGCAAGGGCCCAGAGCTGGATGAGTATGGATGGCACATATTTACCGCTCTCGACTTGGCCAGATGAGTCGAGGTCACGGGGCCGGGGCGGTAATTTTGATGGCGGTGTATAGATTTGCTTCATGTCCTCTCCAGTGTCGTCGCTGACGGCGTCGCGGTCGTCGTCGCCCGAGCCGCCGGTGCAGCCAGACCACTTCTATGGCACAGACCCGCTGCATCTGCCGCCGTCGCCCAATTCCGAGGGCAAAACATATCTGTCACCCGACGACGACCCCCTAGCCCATCGCGGCATCCCTGTCTTCAAGCCCAGCATGCAGGAATTCGCCGACTTTGAGGGGTACATGAACCGGGTCGAGGCATGGGGCCGGCGGTCGGGCATCGTCAAGGTGGTGCCACCGAAAGAATGGACCGACGCGCTGCCCGACGTCAAGCCGCAGCTGGCGGGGGTCAAGATCAAGAGCCCTATCGAGCAGTTCATGCGCGGAAGGGCCGGTCTTTTCCGGCAGGAGAACGTCGAGAAGCGCAAACTCATGAGCGTGCGCGAATGGGCCGAGCTGTGTGCAAAGGACGAGTTCCGTGCACCCGGCAAAGACCAGGTTGGACTGCACAACAACCCCAGCGCCCAGATACCCCTGCGCAGCCGCAAGAAAAAGCCAAAGGAATCGGATCCAAAGGACGACCAGCAGGACCTCCCCAAGCCCGAAGCCATCGCGGAGGACGTCGCAATGGCTTCCCCGCCGAACAGCGCCTCTCCCGACCCCGAGGACGCAAAGCCCGACGCCACCAAGACCCGCAACCGCCGTGTCGAGCGCGCGGACAAGGATGCGTCATTTATTGAAACATTCACTCCACATACCGACTGGCTTCCGCCCGACACCACCGCGACCGACTACACTCCAGAATTCTGCTCCAAGCTGGAGCGCGCGTTCTGGCGCAATTGTGGCCTCGGAAAGCCTGCGTGGTACGGCGCCGACACGATGGGTGCGTGTCTGCCTCCATCATCCATCGTTGTACCACTAATTTCAGTCGCTATATCAGGCTCCCTCTACACCGACGCGACCACTGCTTGGAACGTCGCCCACCTCCCCTCGACCCTCTCCCGGCTTCTGCCTTCATCACAAGGCCTCCCCGGCGTGAATACGCCCTACCTCTACTTTGGCATGTGGCGTGCCACATTCGCCTGGCACGTCGAAGACATGGACCTTTTTTCCATCAACTACATTCACTTTGGCGCACCCAAATTCTGGTACGCCGTTCCGCAGGCGCGGGCCGGTGCTCTGGAGGACACCATGCGAGGCGCGTCGCGTCCCCTCTCCGTGTCCGATCTTCGATTAACATCCCTTCCTTTCTAGGCTACTTTCCCAAAGATACCTCACAATGCCCGCAATTCCTCCGGCACAAATCCTTCCTTGCCTCCCCTACGCTCCTAGCTCAATCCGCCGTGCGCCCGAACCACCTCGTACAGCACGCGGGCGAGTTTGTCATCACCTACCCGCGCGGCTATCACGCGGGCTTCAACCTTGGGCTCAACTGCGCCGAGAGCGTGAACTTCGCTCTAGACAGCTGGCTCGACGAAGGGCGCAAAGCAGCCGTGTGCAAGTGCGTCGAAGACAGCGTGCGCATTGACGTTGACCAGCTGCTCGAGGACCGGCGCATCGATGAGCTCGAAAAGACCGACCCCGCGGCGGCGGCGGCGGCGCGCGCAGCCCGCGATGGCGATGACGGTAACTGGGAGGAGCCGGCCGTTGGGGTTACAGAGCTCTCCGCAGTCGGGGCAGAGTTAAAACCCAAACCGAAACCCAGGCCCGATGCCACGGACGGGCAACCTGCGAAGCAGCGCAGTCCGCGCAAGCGCAAGCCGACTGCACCGTTTGACCCAGAAGGCGCCCCCAAGCGCGCGCGCACGGCGTCCACCTCCACGTCCGCACACTCTCATTCGCACACTGGGCACAAGGTCGTCATCCCTCCGTCTCACCCTCCTTCCTCCCATTCTTCTTCTTCTTCCTCTGCTCACGCACACCCCGCCCAACGGCTCACTCTCAAACTCGGCCCACGTCCCGTCCCTTCGGACGAGACCTTCCCCTGCTGCCTCTGCGTCTCCTCTTCAACCACCGATCTCGCGCGCGTGCATGACCTCCCGCCTGCATGGCGCGAGATCGCTCCGGCCGCCCAGATTCACTTCCCCGAGTCGACGGGTGGGAAGGGCGTCTGGATGGCGCACGAGTCGTGCGCTGTCGTCCTGCCCGAGACGTGGGTGGACGAGGTTGATGGCGAGCGGCTCGTTTTTGGTGTGGATGGGATCGTACGGGGACGGTGGAGTTTGGTTGGTCTTCTCTCAACTTTGTTAACTCAATTTTATTAATGGCTTTGCAGAAATGCTCCGCCTGCACACGCGCGCGCCCTAAAGCGCATGGTGCGCTCATCCAGTGCGCAAAAGGCAAGTGCCCCAAATCGTTCCACATCAACTGTGCCAAGGCCGGTCACGACGCGGGCATTGCGTACACCGTCGTACGCGAGGTTGAAAAGGAGGTGGTTCTGCTGGAGCCCGCGCCGCCGTCTGCCGACCCCACGACCCAGGCGGAGCCGAACCTACGCGTGCTCAAGGTGATCAAGAAGACGGAGGTGGAAGCGTTGTGCCCCCAGCATAATCCTGTGAGATTTTTTATTCTCCCACCTTGACCACCCGTCTGAACGTATAACAGGTCATCGTTGCCGAGCGTCGCGCCTCCAAACAGTCCGGCCTGCGCGCGGACATCCTTGCCCTCCCGCCCCTTTCACGCGTCAAGATCCGCGTCAGCTCAGGCGTATTCGAGGTCACGCTCATCCGCGTTTTGGAGGACCGCGGCGCGGTCGAGGTCCTCTGGGATAACAGCGAGGTACGAGAGTTCAAGTGGGGGAGCGTCATCCTCGGCGCGACGAGCCTCCCCACGATGAGCGTCGCGGACATGCGCAACGGCGCGGCGCCGAATTACGGACGGCCGAAGGCGATCACGCCCGCTCCAGCACATCAGCCGTACCCGTCTGCGTATTACCAGTATGCTCCCCCTGCGGCTGAAACGCAACCGCAGGCACAGAACGCCGCCCCGTCATCTTCCGCCCCGCGTTACCCGAGCGCCACAGCCTCGACCTCGGCCTCGCAACCGCATCACCAGGTAACACATTCAGGTGGGACGCCGAGCCAGCCCCAGTCGCAAGTCCAGGCTGCAAACCCGTATGGGGTGTTCAAATACGAGTACTGGCCATACCCACCGTACGCGCCTGGCACTGCTTCAAGCACACAGGCGTCCAACAGCGCGTATAACGCTCAGAGCGCCAACAGTGCGTATACCGCTGCCGCGGCACAACCCGCCGCCGCCGCAGCCCAATCCACCGCTGCCAGCGCGGGGCCGAACCCGGGGCCGAGCTCTACTAGTAGTCGCCCTACGAGTGCCGCGTCACAACAACCAGGAACGCACTATGCAAACCACTACTACCCGACCTCGCAGCAGTGGGCGACGCAGTACTACCGCGCGACACCGACACCCGCGTATTACCCGCAGGCGCAATTCCAGGCGCAGGGACAACCGGCCGCACCGCATCCACAGTCGTTGCAGCAGGTGGCGCCTTTCTCAGTGCAGCAGCAGAATTCTCCTCCTGCACCGAGTCCTAATCCTACTGTTACTCCTCCTGCACCAAGTCCTACTCCCGCGCCGAATCCTAACTTTACAGCTGCACCCGCACCGAATCCTACTCCGAATTCTACGACTCCTATTCCACCCCCGACCCCCACGCATGCGCACGCTTCCGACGCAATGCACGTCGACGTCCAGCCTGTCTCCGCATGACGATAGACCCAGATACCATATCCAGTGTCTTTTCGTAGAGCTCTTGCAGTGCGCGCGCTTTTTTGATACAGGTACCCTTTTTCTTATGACTGAATGGTATTATTTGCATGGTATCGATAACTTACATACCAGCCGTGTAGTTTTAGAATGACCCACCCGACTTGAATGAACCGTACTTTCAGCTCTAACTTATTCGATGTAATTACGATTCATTGTAATAGTAGCGTTGCAAGATCCCGTTCGCGAGCTTTCTTTCATGTTTCTTTCCATTCTATGTATGCCGAGCCACAAACGACGATATTATACTGAATCCTGAATCCACCCCGATCCACCTTCAACCGATTACACCTACAATTCTCTAAGCTTATTCTGCTACGCATGCATCCTAATGTCCACGCAGAATGTAAAAATTAATCTAAAGTTTCAAATCGCCGGTCGTCCGATGGTGGTAACCTGCAATGCGCCGCGAGTCAGCGAGAGAAAACAAAGCAAACGGTAACGTACCTTAAATCCGATCTTGGTGAGGGCGGCGGCGTCGACGAGGAGACGTCCGTCAAAGACGAACGCGGGCTTCTTCATGTGCTTGTACACCTCTGCCCAGTCAATCTCCTTGAACTCCTTCCACTCGGTCGCGATCACGATCGCCTCGGCGTTCTTGCACGCCTCAAGCGCCGACGAGCAGATCGAGACCTGCTTTTTGACTGCGAAAGAAACATCAGTAGTCGGTAGCGCAAGAGAAGCAAATGGCGTACTGGTGTCGAGGGGAACGGAGGGGCTTGCCTCGCTGAGATCAGCCCAAATCTGCGACTCGGCGACTTGCGGGTCGTAGACGTTGACGAGGGCGCGCTCGGACTGGAAGTCGCGGATGAGGG